TCCGCGCCGTGGACGCCGACTCGGGCTACAACGCGTGGCTGCGCTACGAGTTGTGGGAGCCGCAGGGCAAGGGCCCGTTCCGCGTGGGGCTCTACAGCGGCGAGGTGAGCACGGCGCGGGCACTGGATGAGGCGGACGGGCCTCGCCAGAGGCTGCTGATCGTCGTGCGCGACCACGGCGAGCCGGCGCGCTCGGCCACAGCCACGCTCAGCGTGTCGCTGCTCGAGGCCGCCGAGGCGGCGCTGGCCGCGGGATCCTCGTCGGCGTCGTCGTCGTCCTCAGCGGTGTCGCGCTCGGCGGCGGGCGTGGAGCTCGGGGCCGGGGCGGCGAGCGCGGCCACCAACGTGTGGCTGGTGGTGGCCATCTGCGCCGTGTCCAGCCTCTTCCTGCTGGCCGTGGTGCTGTACGGGGCGTCGCGCTGGGCGCCGCGGGCGGCCGTGCTCTCGGCGCCCGGGCCCACGACGCTCGTGTGCGCCAGCGAAGTGGGCAGCTGGTCCTACTCGCAGCGCCACAGCCGCAGCCTGTGCGTGGCGGACGGCGCTGCCAAGAGCGACCTCATGGTTTTCAGCCCCAACTTCCCTCCGCCGCCGCCCGCTCCTGCAGCCAAGGACACGCAGCCGGAGCCCTCCGCTCTCCTCGACACGGTCAGTGGCAATACCTTGTTCGCCTCTCGCTGTTTGGTTTCTTCTCCGCCCATTCTCTCTCGTCCCCTGGGTATTTCCTGCTTGCAGCGAGGCTCCGCCCCCGCAGAATGATGTCAGTGGTTGTTTAAGGATGATAAAGGGATATTTCTATTGTCGGCCTTTCCTCACCTCATTTTGGAATTTCTTGGTGCGTGGAGGCCGAATTAATTTATTTTTGCACTCCAGAACTGTTACCATCTGCAGGTGAATCTCGCTGTGCTGGGCAGGAGTTTTACTCAGGAATGAAATCATTGCTTGTTGCAGTGAGAGGTGCCCCGGGGTGCTAGCTTTGCAGGCAGGTTTGTTACTTTTTTCCGTGAAGGGTTTCAATGCCAGCTTGGAGCAGGAATACAAGACAAACCTTGGTGATAGTCCCCCAGTAACGCTGTTTTGAGTTATGCCTTCGCTAACTTTTGACTATGTTGGTATTAGGTTTCAATTGTTACTGAAAACTGTCTTCTTTCATTTTCCTTGCATGAGATGTGACACAAAATTACACTTGGGGCTTCAACTATTTGACTCCCCGTGGAAACAAAAATTCTGAATTTAGGTTCCACCATCAGGCTCATTGAGAAAGTAGGAAAGGCAGTATGGACTTTAATATCACCTTTTTCCTTGTAATTTGTTTTGCTTTCTGTAAAGGAAGGAAAATATAGAATGTTTACTAAAGTGATTGTGGCAATGGCAGAGTTAGGGCCAGGTTTGTTTTGATGTGACCTTGAGCAGAAAAGCTCCGTGAGGAAGGTGGAATTTATTGAGAAGGGCATGGGCGATATCTTAAGACAAGAATGAGTCATGATGAGGTTTTCAAGAGAACTCATGTCCCAGAGTGATGAACGAAGAATACCTAGAGAAAACTGTGAGGCAGGATGAGCACAGAGTACTTATGCCTGGGATCCTTTTCAAGACTCTAATGTTTGGGAGCTGGAGGCCTTGTGGACCTTGAGATGCTGTGTGGTATTGAAATGGCCACAAAGTCCTTTGAGGTGATGAAGTTCTCCCAGAACAGAAAGTGGTTTGTGCTGATACTTCATTACTGTATAAATTGTATTGGTAAGAGGAAATGCAATGCTGAATGTTGTTTAATGAACCACTTCCCTTTAATTTTGAGGAAGGCATTGTGGGAGGGTAGGACTTGAGCTTGCTGGAGTCCTTTTGTAGGAGTCCATGTCTAAAGCAGCTTCCTCAGCTGTTGATTTTGCCATGATGGTTCCTTGCTGCTTGTCAAGTGGGATTTGCAAGAGGATGTGATGAGGAAAAGAGCATAAATCTGTGTGTGCCTCATGTCTCCTACCTGAGCTCTTGTAGGGACAGCCTCAGTAGAAATGGGGTGTTGCCTCATCATGCTTAACCCTGATACCTGTATGGCCACACCAAACCCTGAAGCACAGTCCAGCTCTGATATTATCGTAGAAAGTCTCCCCCACAATTGATTTTGTGACTGTGCTTGTTCTTCTGCATTTGGTGTGATTGTCTCAAAATAAAATGAATCTGTGCCAGGATCAGAGCTGTCACTCTGATCACAGAATTTCAAGGATCTCCAAAGTGTAGCTCTGTGGTGTTTCCATCTAAGATTGCTGAAAAAGCTCAGCATGTTTAAGGTAAATTTCACACAGTCTGGCAGACATTCTGTGGCTTTGCATCTCTTCATAGGGTCTTTGTGCATATTGTGAGGGAGGGTGGGGATGTGCAAAGGCCTGGATCATATTCAGAGTAGGTTTTATTGCTGGGGCAAGCTGTTCTGGTGGGGCAGTTTGGCTGCTACAGCTGTAATCCTCCAAGTGGCAGGGAGTACTGCTTGGGCTCTGTCTCATGGGTAGGGTGACTTTGAGTGGAGAAGATTTTTTACTGAGGCAATGGAGATAGTGCTTATGCTATACAGCATCACTGGGGAAGAAAAGCTCCAGTTGCTTAGCTGGAGATTCATTTCCCAGAGCTTGGGATAGAGGATTCCACTGGAAAACCTTGTGAAGCCGCCTGTCACCCAGGGCTGCTCTCTTGGGATCCTCTCAGGTCCTTCTGAAGTCCTGTGTATCTTTGGTATTGTCTGTGCTCTTCCTGTCAGATGTGAAGTCATCTTCCATTCACATCTTAGATCACTTGCTTTTGAAAATATGGCATTGGTAAAACAGCAGCTTTTCCAATCATCAGTGTTGCTTGGTCAGCCTTCTCTGAAGCTCTCCTTGTTTATATCCCTGCTCTTGTCTTGATAGGGAGTGGGAAAACTTCTGTCCATAATCAAGAAGTTTCCAGACCTGGCATTTTGATATGGTGGAAATGTAACTTCTAGTTGTCTTCTCTCCTTTTATCAAAACATTTCATATTTTAAAATTATTTTTCTTCTTTTGCATTTGCCATGTGTTGGTAACAGTGGATGAAATGCACACTGCTGAATTTTGGCAGCTGTCAAGTAGCAGAGTTTCCAGGAGTTGACCATCGGTATGAGAGATGGATTTTCCAGTGTTCTAAGCCGAGGTTGAGGTTGGGAGAATGACCTTAGATTTGCAGGATCTCTTCTACTTAGCATGTGATAAAAGTACATGAAGGAGCATTGTGCTTCTGTTCAGTGATTTAGAGGCTTTTGCAGAATGTGGGTCATTTCCCCCTATTCGTCTTCCCCATTAATCTCTGATAACATTAAAAGAAAATATGCTTCAGAACCAATTCCCTCCCTTGACAGTAAATATTTTCTGAAGAAGGAGCCAGGTATGCTTCAGGTAAGTTCCTGCTACCTAAAGAAGATGAGTCTGATTTCAGTTGTACCTTGGATTGACCAAATGTGCCTGGATATGGAGTTGGACTTGATAATCTTTCTGGGTACCTTCAGGTTTGAAATGTTCTGTTATTCCTTTACTGGATCAGCAGAGCACCACTGCCTCCTCCCCTTCCGAACTTGTTTCTCCAGACACAGTTTGATCAAATTGCAGTAAGCATGGATGAAGGAGAGACCCTAACACATTTCTCAGAGTGGATGTGTTGGGAGTCAGGGGTGTGTTCTCAGAGAAAATGACACAAATAAAATGACTGTGTTGCCTTTACCCTGTGGATCAGACTGCACAGAGGAATTGCACGGGGAATTTGCTCCTGGGGTTGGACATTGTTGCTGTGTGTTTCTGGCTCTGCTGGCCTGCCTCAAATACGAAGTCAGAAATTTACATTCAGCATGAAGGTGGCAAATGAGGCCTGAAGAACAGCTCTTCATCAGAGTATATGAAGAGTGTCCAGAAGCTGTGGTGTTCAGCATTCAGGATGGATTGGTGTGCTTGATGGCTTTGAGTTCCTGAAGGAGATTCACTGGGTTGTTTGTGCTTAGTCAAGTCTCTTTACACCAATGTCAAAGTACCTAGGGATTGGGTCTGTGTTTCAGAGGCTGTGAATTCTCTCCCTTGAGAGAATGGAGCCTGAAGTGTGTGATTTCCTTCCAGAAGGTGAGTAGAAACAGCACTCTGTCAGTCTGGCACAGACTTGAAGTGAGCAGGAAGTTTGCTCCTTGAGTGGAGAGATGAAAGATGACAGCAGAGAGGAGCGAGAACTGTCACAAATGGCGTGTTTGTGACTCATGGGGACAGGGACGTAATGGAAAAATACATTGGTAATGGAAATGAGGAAGAAGAGAGTATGTGTGTGCATAAGGACAGTGAAGAGTAGGAGGAAGATGGGAAAAAGAAAGAAGGGAAGGATGGATGGACGAATCTACTGGTACGTCACTGATGATCTCACTGTAAACAGAAAGGGAGAAGAGCGAGAAAGGAAGACATAAAAGGAGTGAGAGAAGAGAAAGAGAAAAGATGCTATGAAGGTATTACACAAGGAGGCAAGTAAAGATCAAAGATGACAAAAAGAAGAAAACGTCAGCAAAGGAGATGAGCAGTATGAAACGACTTTACCTCTAATCGCTGGTTGGAGCTGGTTCCCAAGAGCCCCCGCCTCGACTGGAATATTCCACGATCCGACGCTAATGCCACGTAAGTCGAGCTGGTGGATCCAGCTTTTTTTTTCTGCAGTCTGACTCTGGAGGCGCCTGGCGAGACACCGGAAGGGGTAAGAAGAGAGCAGCGGAAAAAGTCCAAAGAATAAAATACAAAAGGAGCACGGGAAGAAGAAACGGAAGAGAAGGTGGCCATGACGCAGCGGAGGCGCAGGAGCTGTCACGGAGCGTGTGCGGCGGCGGAGCAGCGCACGGTGTCGCTGCAGGCTCAGGAACGGGTCCGTGTGGGCGGCTCCGCCCCGGTGCGGCGGAGAGCCCGGCTGTGAGCGCGGGGGGGCGGCTCGGGCCGGGCAGCAGAGCCGGTGCGTGCGGGCGGCGGCGGGGAGCCGTGCGGGGCCCGGGCCGGGGCCGGCGGGCAGAGCGGCGGCGGCGGGCAGAGCGGCAGGAAGGATGGGCGAGCGTTGCTGTGCGGCGGTGGTGCGGGTGCTGGTGCTGCAGGCGGCCTGGGCGCTGTCGGGCGGGCAGGTGCGCTACTCGGTGCCGGAGGAAGCCAAGGCCGGCACGGTGGTGGGCCGTCTGGCGCAGGACCTGGGCCTGGAGGCGGGTGAGGCGGAGGCGCGGCGGCTGCGGCTGGTGGCGCCGGGCCGGCGGGCGAGCGTGGAGGTGAGCGGGGCGAGCGGCGCGCTGCTGGTGAGCTCGCGGCTGGACCGGGAGGAGCTGTGCGGCAAGAGCGCGCCGTGCGCGCTGCGCCTGGAGGTGCTGCTGGAGCGGCCGCTGCGCGTCTTCCATGTGCAGCTGGAGGTCACCGACATCAACGACAATGCCCCCGTCTTCCCCGCTGCCCGGAAAAACCTCAGCATCGCGGAATCGTCTTTGCTGGGGTCTCGTTTCCCGCTGGAGGGCGCGTCGGATGCGGATATCGGACCGAATGCGCATCTCTCCTACACACTCAGCCCCAGCGAATATTTTACACTTGATGTTAAGTCGTCTGATGAAAACAGGAAGTCTCTGTTTCTGGTACTCGCAAAGTCTTTAGACCGCGAGACTATTCCCGTTCACCGGCTGGTGCTGACGGCGAGTGACGGGGGCCGGCCGTCTCTGACGGGGACAATGGAGCTGGTGATCTCGGTGGAGGATGCGAACGACAATCCGCCCCAGTTCAACCAGTCTGTGTATAAAGTGCTGATACCAGAAAATGCTACAGAGGGGACGCTTGTATTACGTGTGAATGCCACGGATCCGGACGAAGGAAGCAATAAGGAGTTTTATTACAGCATCTTGAGTTCGATTCCTATCGGTAACAAAGAACTCTTTACCATTGACACCAAGACGGGCGACATCAGACTGAAGGGTACTTTGGACTTCGAAGATGTTCGCTTGCACGAATTGCAAATCGAAGCGCGAGATAAAGGGACGCCCTCACTCTCGGGTCACTGCAGCGTGGAGATGGAGGTTCTGGACGTGAACGACAACGCGCCGGAGGTGTGGGTGACGTCGCTGTCGGTGCCGGTGCCCGAGGACGCGTCGTTGGGGACGGTGGTGGCCCTGCTGAGCGTGTCGGACCGGGACTCGGGCGAGAACGGTCGCGTGCGGTGCTGGGTGTGGCCGGCGTCACCGTTCGGTCTGGAGGCGACGTTCGCGGGCTCGTACTCGCTGGTGCTGCGCGAAGCGCTGGACCGGGAGCGGGTGTCGGAGTACGAGGTGGAGGTGCGTGCGGAGGACGGCGGGGCGCCGGCGCTGCGCGCCAGCCGCGGGCTGCGGGTGCCGGTGTCGGACGTGAACGACAACGCGCCCTTGTTCGCGCAGGCCGTGTACACGGTGCTGGCGCGGGAGAACAACGCGGCGGGCGCGGAGCTGGCGCGGCTGTGGGCGCGGGACCCGGACGAGGCGGCCAACGGGCGCGTCAGCTACTCGGTGTGGGACGGCGGCGTGGGCGTGGGCGGCGGCGGGGCCGCGGGCTCCTCGTCGGGCGTTGGGTGGCGTCCGGCGTCGAGCTACGTGTCGGTGGACGCGGAGAGCGGGCGTCTGTGGGCGCTGCAGCCCTTGGACTACGAGGAGCTGCAGGTGCTGCAGTTCGAGGTGCGCGCGGTGGACGCGGGGGAGCCGCCGCTGAGCGGCAACGCCACGGTGCAGCTGTTCGTGCTGGACGAGAACGACAACGCGCCGGCGCTGCTGCCGCCCGCGGGCTCGGCAGCGGAGGCGGGCGGCGTGGCGGCGGCGGAGGCGGCTTTGGCGCTGTCGGGGGCGGGCTCGGAGTCGGGCACGCTGTGGGCGTGGGCGGCGTGGGGGGCGCCGGCGGGGCAGGTGGTGGCCAAGATCCGCGCCGTGGACGCCGACTCGGGCTACAACGCGTGGCTGCGCTACGAGCTGTGGGAGCCGCGGGGCAAGGGCCCGTTCCGCGTGGGGCTCTACAGCGGCGAGGTGAGCACGGCGCGGGCGCTGGACGAGGCGGACGGGCCTCGCCAGAGGCTGCTGATCGTCGTGCGCGACCACGGCGAGCCGGCGCGCTCGGCCACGGCCACGCTCAGCGTGTCGCTGCTCGAGGCCGCCGAGGCGGCGCTGGCCGCGGGATCCTCGTCGGCGTCGTCGGCGGTGTCGCGCTCGGCGGCGGGCGTGGAGCTCGGGGCCGGGGCGGCGAGCGCGGCCACCAACGTGTGGCTGGTGGTGGCCATCTGCGCCGTGTCCAGCCTCTTCCTGCTGGCCGTGGTGCTGTACGGGGCGTCGCGCTGGGCGCCGCGGGCGGCCGTGCTCTCGGCGCCCGGGCCCACGACGCTCGTGTGCGCCAGCGAAGTGGGCAGCTGGTCCTACTCGCAGCGCCACAGCCGCAGCCTGTGCGTGGCGGACGGCGCTGCCAAGAGCGACCTCATGGTTTTCAGCCCCAACTTCCCTCCGCCGCCGCCCGCTCCTGCAGCCAAGGAGGCGCAGCCGGAGCCCTCCGCTCTCCTCGGCACGGTCAGTGTTCCTCCTTTTCTCGCTCTGTCCCCTCTCACCCGCCCCCTGGGCTGTTGCTGCCTGGAGCCGTGCTCCGCCCTCGCGCCGAGGGGGCGGTCCGTTTTTCATGGTCATTTACCCTCTGAGTGCGGGTTGCATCATCCCTCCTCTTCGGTGCCTGTAATGTATTGTATCCTAGCAGGTTTGTTTTTACCACTGTGATCTTCTGTCTTCGTTTAATCTTGTTAAAGAGGGGAGGTCGTCAAAATACTTAGATCTTCCTGCCCTCGGTGCCAAGCTGAATGAAATACCTTTTTTGTCTTGCAGCGTCTCGTGAGTCTTGTGTTTTTGATGGTGCTGGGAATGGAGTTCATCTATATGTCACTTTCTTCTCTATTTTGTAATTTTAGAACCATCAGTAGCTGTTTCACAATCAGTCATAATCTGTCTTTAAGCCGCATCTTTTTCTTGTCTACTCAGCTTTGTTGTCCCCTGCATCGAAAATATTTTTCAATTTTCCTACCTAGGTCTTCAGAGTCATTAACTTTTTCTGCAGATCTTTCCTGCAGACCTGTATTTGAGCTCTGCTCCATCGGATGCTATCTCCTATAATCTTTGATGCATCACTGTTAATCACTTTCTGAGATCCCCTCATGAGTTATTAAATAGAATCATTCTTGATAAAGATTTCTGCCCGACTGCAGTTTTTGCCTTATCTTGCTAGTGTTATCATCTCTGATTTTCTTCCACCTGTGGATTTAATCACAACTCTGAGTGCCTCTTTCATTTTGAATGGAGTATCTTTACTTGTCCACATTTCCCTGTCTTACAGGAGGGGCACTTCAAATTAATTTCTTGATTTTGACTGCTGTGAATTGCTCGTTTCCAGTCTTGTCTTACTCAGAAGTCTGTCCTTCTCTTTGTTTCACCTTTGAAAGAAAAATCTATATTTAAATTTCTTGCCTCTTCACCGTGCATGGTATAGATTAATTTGTGAAGTATTGCAGAATTACTATGGACATGAAAAAGACAGATGCATTTCACACTTTCCCCTTCGAAGTATGATTGAAATGAACTTAGTGGCAAAAGAACACAAACCAAAGTAGATGTCAAAATGTGCAGCTGTAGTTCTAGACTGAGCAAGACATATTGGTAGAGGACTTGTTTTTGGTGGATTAATGTATTTGTGGAAGCACCTCAGTTTGGTTTCTGACTTGGGTAGTCCCACGTACCCATCAGTCATAGGCATTGTATTTCTAGGATGCTGTGGGGTTTTGACATGATCTTATTTGTGCTTACTTAATTTTGTTTTTCTGTTCCCTGAGAATAGTTTTTAAAATAAATTCATTTTTTCTGGTCTCATTGTGTGCTTGCCTTATGATAATCATGTGAATAGGAAGATGGATGATGCTTGAAATTCCTGGTTTCCAGAGAGTGATGTAGCTTGGCTTTATCGGGAGATGTGTTGGCAATTGTGAGTGAAAGCCATGCTGCCAAATAATGCTCTTTCATTTCAGAGTCTGTGCTCCTTAATATATACATTATAATATTAATACAGTTTAATAGATACAGCTGAAAAGTAAAGGGTGGCTCCATAATCAGAAAGCAAACTACTGGAACAGAAGATTTCACTGGAAAAAATGTTAAGCCTAAGTGCTAGAGAATTTTGAGCTCCAAAGTTACTTCTCCTGCACTGATGCTGTAGTGTCATTGCCCAATAACATTTTCACTGGAATGTGGTTCACTGTCTTGCCATCTCTTAAGGTCAATTTTACTTTGAGAGGAATCTGTGAGGCTTCAGGTTTCATTTGTTTCTGCCTTCATAGAAACGTATACAGAAATTTTGGCAATACAGCAGGAATTAGAGAGGATGGAATAAAAACCTGTTTGCTTTTTCAGCCCTGCTTCCCTGAAATTTTGAACAGTGATCCTTGAACACAGGCCTGAGAATGGAGACCTAGAAATAAATCAAGACAACAGTTAGAATAGCAACAGGTGTAACTAAAAATATCTATTGACAGACTGACATGGGCTTTTTTAGCATTTTGTATATTCCTTTTTTGTTGTTATTTTTTACCTTTGGGTGCATGCATCGTTGATTCTTCCTGTGGTAGAACCAACAACTCACTAATCTGTGAAATTCCCTGGTTTGTGTTAGTGCCTGGCCTAGAGGGCAGGGCAGCAGAAAGTGCTGTAGCTGTGTAGAGAAGATGATCTGATGTATTTATGTCAGTAGATGAGGTGGGAGCTTGGGAACCTGTTATGAGATGAACTGTGCCTTGCCAGAACAGTGGTGCAACCCTTTTATCTCATCCCCAGTAGTGTCATGGTGAATGATGCTGCTGTGTCCTGCAGCAGCTCATCTCCATCGGTAACAGGCACATGGTTTTGCCATACTGTGAGTTTCTACCTGCCTAAAAATGATAACCAAGACCTTGATCTTCATTGTGCAGCTACACTTGGGGGATAAAACTTAGGGAAAATACTGATATATACAGATGAGAGAGTTCATATTCCCTGAGTTATTTCACACTTCTGAGAGGATTTCTGCTCTGTTGGAATGTTTAAAGGATAGAGTTAGGGAGTCACTGATGGAGTTGAAAGTCTTTGGTATTTGCTGATGCTTTACTCGGTTGGAAATACACTTCAGAAGGCAAAACAATTCTGCTATGGACAGACACAGGTACTCTTTGTAATATGATGGGTGTACTGTACTATTTACTCTACAAAAAACCAAGGAGACTGTGTGGAATTGCTCAGCCACATCCCTGTCACAAAGCCATGAAAAGGTAAGCAATTTCTGTTCGTTTCTAGCATTCCTGGATTAGGCCAAGTACATTACATGTGAATCTATGTCTTCTGAAGACCTGAGTACTTTCCATAGATGGAAGATCGAGGATACAGTCTTCTTCGGTAGAGGAAACAGCTGAAGTATCTTCCGGAAGAAAACATAAGTGAGAAAATTGAGTTATGCCTCCTGAAGCATAAGAGAAGATGAAGTCTGGAGATCAGAAGTAGCTTTATGCAGTGAAGATATTCCTCGGAATGATTCCTGGGTTAATAAGGGCGTTTAACTGAATGTACATTTTGGCAAGTAAGTGCTTCTCGATTAAAGTGCCTTAAGGAAGGAGAAGATGAAGAAGAGAAAGAGAAGAGAAGGAGAAAGGGAGGAGACAAGAGGACCAATTATTACGGCTGCGGAGGAAGGCAGTGTTCGGAAGGGAAATCTCGGAGCGCGTCGGCCGAGCGGGCGGAGCCACGGCAGGTCCTTCCCGGCACGGAGCCGCAGCGGGAGGAGGGCAGCAGGCGGCTGCTCACGGGAGGAGCCGCGGTCGGACACCAGGTGCCGCTGTTGGCCGCGAAGGCGCCGTGAGCCACGGAAGGGCGGCAGCTCCTCCCCGAGCCTCAGTCACGGTACCGTCAGCCGGAGGAAGGATGCGCCGGACCGGCCCGGGCGGAGCGCCGGGAAAGCGGAGCGGCGTGCTGCTCGTCCCAGGGAGACCCTAAGGCGGACGGCGGGGAGTGACGGAGAGCCGGTCAGGGCCCGGGAAGGGACCGGAGGCGACAGCGGCGGAGATGCGGTGGGGACCTGTGCTACGGGTGCTGGTGCTGCAGGCGGCCTGGGCGCTGTCGGGCGGGCAGGTGCGCTACTCGGTGCCGGAGGAAGCCAAGGCCGGCACGGTGGTGGGCCGTCTGGCGCAGGACCTGGGCCTGGAGGCGGGCGAGGCGGAGGCGCGGCGGCTGCGGCTGGTGGCGCCGGGCCGGCGGGCGAGCGTGGAGGTGAGCGGGGCGAGCGGCGCGCTGCTGGTGAGCTCGCGGCTGGACCGGGAGGAGCTGTGCGGCAAGAGCGCGCCGTGCGCGCTGCGCCTGGAGGTGCTGCTGGAGCGGCCGCTGCGCGTCTTCCATGTGCAGCTGGAGGTCACCGACATCAACGACAATGCCCCTGTGTTCCGTGAGGACGAAGAAGCCCTTAATATCGCGGAATCGTCTTTGCTGGGGTCTCGTTTCCCGCTGGAGGGCGCGTCAGATGCGGATATCGGAGCGAACGCGCAGCTCACCTATACACTCAGCCCCAGCGAGTATTTCAGTCTTGATCATCAGGGGAATAATGACCAGAGTGCCTCTTTGGCTCTTATTTTAACGAAATCTCTGGACCGGGAGACGATTCCCGTGCATCGGTTGGTGCTGACGGCGACTGATGGTGGCCGGCCGTCTCTGACGGGGACAATGGAGCTGGTGATCACGGTGGTGGATGCAAACGACAATGCGCCCCAGTTCAACCAATCCGTTTATAAAGTTAAAGTCTTAGAAGGTTCCGAGCTCGGAACTCTGTTAGTCACGCTTAGTGCAACGGATCCTGACGAAGGGATCAATAGTGATATTATCTACTTATTTGGTAGACGTGCTAGTACACAAGTTAAAGAAATGTTCACTGTCGACGAAAACAAAGGAGAGATCAGACTACAAGGCAAATTAGACTATGAGGAAATGAATAGTTACGAGATCCCTGTAGAAGCAAGGGACAAAGGCTACCCTCCGCTGTCGGGCCACTGCAAGGTGATGTTGGAGGTGGTGGACGTGAACGACAACGCGCCGGAGGTGTGGGTGACGTCGCTGTCGGTGCCGGTGCCCGAGGACGCGTCGTTGGGGACGGTGGTGGCCCTGCTGAGCGTGTCGGACCGGGACTCGGGCGAGAACGGTCGCGTGCGGTGCTGGGTGTGGCCGGCGTCGCCGTTCGGTCTGGAGGCGACGTTCGCGGGCTCGTACTCGCTGGTGCTGCGCGAGGCGCTGGACCGGGAGCGGGTGTCGGAGTACGAGGTGGAGGTGCGTGCGGAGGACGGCGGGGCGCCGGCGCTGCGCGCCAGCCGCGGGCTGCGGGTGCCGGTGTCGGACGTGAACGACAATGCTCCCTCGTTTGCGCAGGCCGTGTACACGGTGCTGGCGCGGGAGAACAACGCGGCGGGCGCGGAGCTGGCGCGGCTGTGGGCGCGGGACCCGGACGAGGCGGCCAACGGGCGCGT